TTACACATTTGGGAAGTTGCCACTTGGAGAAATACCCTTGGGAAAATCTATTTATAAACGCGGTATTCTTCGGAACATGACATTTTTTCATCAATCCTGATGACAAGTTCATGATTTTTCTTCAAACTATAACCATTAACCATTTTCATGGTTTTTACATCACAGATATTGGTTGCTATTCATTGTTTTTATCTATTCATCTATTTAACTATCTATCTATCAATATATCTATCTATCTACATCTATTCATCAACCTGTCCGATCAATCTATCTGTCTTCAATCCATCAATCCAGCTCCAGCTCTCCTCAATCCTATCCAAACCACAGAATATTCAACTTCAGGATCCACTATATACTCTACACTCTACTCTCTACACTCTACACTCTACACTCTACACTCTACACTCTACACTCTACACTCTACACTCTACACTTTACACTCTACACTCTACACTCTACACTCTACACTCTACACTCTACACTCTACACTTTACACTCTACACTCTACACTCTACACTCTACGCTCTACACTCTACACTCTACACATTTTTGTCTATGCTCATTGCAGCATAGGTATCCTGTAAATTATAAGATCACAGTAAATTAAATAATCAAAAAAACCATAAAGAATTTGAGTTTGTGACACAAACTCAATTTTTTTTATACCTCTATCTATACAATCTAATGGTGTAAACCTTTGATATTTCAAAATTAGATTATTTGATCTAACAGATTTCATAGTTTGAAATGTCTAAGGTCTACGACATAGGGTTGCAAAGATATTGGGATTATAAAATCATAGTTTGTGGCAAAGACTCAATTCCTATATACTTTTCTTTTCAGAAAATCAATACATGTACATTTATATGAGGAGTATAAATGTAAAATACATATTAAAACTAAATAACAAGTAAAAATAACCTAACTGTTATCATATTAAATGTCACGGTTTAGTCAAGTGAAGAAAAGGATCTACCAGGTTTCATGATCTCTGTTTAATCCTGTACAATAAATATATAGCTCCAGGTCCCTGTAGAATACACCTGGTACAGGGTACACCAGGATATTAAACCCAACCCTCGACTTACAATATCTATTTTACATCAAAAGACCCAGAATTAGGAAAAAATATGGCTGACCAAATTTACTTAATTGAAGAAGCTTGCAAAGTAGTTGACTCCCTTTTAACAATTCTATAGCAGTACTGAAATGTATTTAATCTTATTTAGAAAGCAAAGACGAGCAAAACAAAGGCTGAGATTTATCAGATTGAAAAGCCAGTTAATGGGAGTGGCAGTAGAGAAGAGTTTTTTTATTTTTTTATTTTCATTACTGAAACCCCGGAATTAGAGAAAAGTACCAATTGAATCATTCAACAAGGAGACTGCACATAACTGTTAAATATATAGGAATGAACAATAAAACACTTAAGACCTTTTTTTTTATAATATATAACTTCAAATACACAAAATATTGCTAGAATGGCATCTTTCTATTTCACACATTTATGATTAACACTAACTACTTCTTTTCTGCGATATCTCATTCTCGCCCCTTTAATGTCGATATTTGATTTTCTAATTTGTCTGATATCTCGCGGATTTAAGATAAAGAGGATCTTGAGATATCCTGACAGTGTAAATATGTGTTTAGTCATGAGGACGGTATCTTTGAACAATCCTTTAAATACCTTATCTTTTCATTATCTTCAGGGATGTTTAAAAATCGATTTAAAAACCTCTCAAATTAAAGCAAATTTCATGTTTGATTGTTTTTAATCTCAACTTTTTTGAAGAGTTTTTTAAATATGATATATATGCAATCCAAGTCGTTATTGTAAAGTCGCAGAAATGAATTGAATCTTTGTCTTAAAATCTCGTGTAAACCTTTAATATTTCAAACTTAGATTATTTGATATAAAAGAATTTATAGTTTGAAATATCCAAATTCTACTATATCATGGGTTGCAAAGAAATAGAAATCAGAATAATAGAATTATTAACGTTTGATGTAAAAATAGTAATCATTTTATACAAAACTTTTCATCTCGTCTATGCAATAAAAAAGTGCAACAGAAATATGCCTTCTATCAATTGTACTGAACTTTTTTTCTATTCTATCTTATTTTAATAATTTATAAAAAATTGCTGCATTATTCACTATCTAATCATCAAATGACTCTGAAGTTGGAAAACGATAAAATTCTAAAAAATACAATTTTGAAAGTGTATTGAATAATATGGTATTAGCAAAAGAAATGTAAGACATTTTGATGAATACACATTTGATAACGGAGACACAAAAGTTTGAAGTGATAATTAACTATAATTATCAATAATTTTGATTGCCAGCTTGATAATCAATTTAACAGTAAAATATTCTTTCATTTCTATATTTTTTTTTCATAAATTATTCTTAGAAAATGGCCAAATTTATTTCGCGCTCATTTAATATTTCAAGTTTTAATTGTGGCTCTATCTGTGAGCATCTTCTCACCGTACATCATTAAACAATAACAGAAGGTCCCATACAAAATTTGGGCCCAATGTTCTGTCTTTTTCACGTTTATTGGATACAAACAAATAAACAAACAAATTGACAGTCAACAGAAAAGCAAAGTATATATATGTAGGTAGATACAATCATGTTTTGTGTCAAAAATAATTGACATTTTCTCCTTTTTTTCCAAAGAATGGTAACATGCAAAAATCCGCAAGAGAATTTGAAAATTGAAATTATTTAATTTTCTGAAATCTGTTGAAATTACGTTTAACAAGTCCATTTAACAATTGGAACTAAGAATACATACACAGGCATTATACCTCGGTCAACATGTTTAACTGCAAGGTGACTCAGTGACAAGATTTTTAAATTGTGCAGTTCGCAAATCAGGTTGTTCAGATAAAGCAGGATTTATTCATAAAAATGTATGGATTTATTAAGGAGAATTAACTGGGTTTAATCTATTCATCAATTTAATGGAAGCTATAAATTATTGATCTTTATCTACATTTAACAGGACTAATCCAGATATTACTATATTATTAAGAACTTTTAGGACTCTTTCAAAATCTTAAGAAAATTATAGATAAGGAGTTTGGGGGTCAAAAATCGCCTTTACTCACTTGTAAACTGTATCTATATCTATATATAAAGTTGTAATCTGTTTGTCGGTTTGTTTAAATATCTGATCATAACTCATGAACCCCTAGACCAATTTGTCTAAAAAAAATTTTTGGAACTCGGGAGAGCCACGGGAATGTTTTTAGCTTGATTTTGAGATTCTAAGTAGAGTGAGTCGACTTTAATCGAGGAAAATAACTTAAATCGTAATTTACTACCAAGTTCTGGTAAACGGCGGGAGTAACTAAGAGTAACCTGGGCAACGCTGGGTTCCCAAGCTAGTAACTCATAAACGCCTGAACCGATTTCCTTCAAATTTTGATAAGGGAACTCAATAGTGGTTTAAAAATTCTGTATTGAGTGTTGTCATGCAATGTTTTGTTACCAGACAATGCTTGGTTGCCAAACTTTTACATATGAAATCTTAGTTTCCAAACAATGCTGGGTTGCCAACTTTTACATGTGAAATCTTAGTTTCCAGACAGTGCTGGGTTCCCAAACTTTTACATGTGAAATCTTAGTTTCCAGACAATGCTGGGTTCCCAAACTTTTATATGTGAAATTTTAGTTTCCACACAATGCTGGGTTTCCAAACTTTTACATGTGAAATCTTAGTTTCCAGACAATGCCGGGTTCCCAAACTATTATATTTCAAATCTTAGTTTCCAAACAATGCTGGGTTCCCAAACTTTTATATGTGAAATCTTAGTTTCCAGACAATGCTGGGTTCCCAAACTTTTGCATGTGAAATCTTAGTTTCCAGACAATGCTGGGTTCCCAAACCAGCTCATAATAAAACCAATCAAGCGTTTGTATGACCCCCGCAAACAAGTGAAAATATATAAGTTCAAATTCAATCTCAATTTATCTTATGTATATTGTATATGTAACGTTATCTTATGTACACTGTATATGTAACGTTATCTTATGTATATTGTTATATTGTATATGTAACGTTATCTTATGTATATTGTATATGAAACGTTATCTTATGTATATTGCATATGTAACGTTATCTTATGTATATTGTATATGTAACGTTATCTTCTGTATATTGTATATGCAACGTTATTTTATGTATATTGTCTCTGCTGGACAAATCTGCAAATCACATTTACAGAGAAACCACATTGGAAAAATATTAATTTTCAGACTTCAAACAAGGATATCTCTATCGTTTTCTTGTACAAAGACACCATTTTGAATCAGTCATGTAATTCTTAAAATAGAGACTCACTTGAAATTACGCTGACAGTCTCTTTAAATAAGTAAAGTGTTCACTTTGTCATTGTATCCATATAAAATATAAAATTTTTAAGTCGTATTTAATTCCCATGTTCATTGGTTCCCCCTGTAGATACATATCCTGGTATACATTACAAACATGTTGTATATTTGAACCCGGAGAGAGGAGACACGTTGGTTCCACCAGAGTTCAAACTATTCTCCGGTATAAACTTAAACCTAGTCTCTCCGTTCTGTGAAACCAAGAAGTTCTAGATAAATGGGCGCAATTATCTCCGGCCTCCGCAGCTCACAACGACGGCCATAAAGTTGATAAATAGAGGAAGGCTTTCAGTCTCCCTGGACTGTTGTGTCATCTAGGGAGCCATAAATAAGCGGGTATTGCTTTCCATGTGATATACTGCAAATGGTCTGGCAAACTCCGGCGGCAGTTAAAGAAAGCAAAGATGCAATTAAGAAGGGATGGCTTTCTCAATTCTTGTCCCATGGGGTGTATCTACTGTGATAAAAGTACCCCATTCCATCCTGAATTAGGAAAATGAATATAGTTTGGCAGCGGTCTAGGATAATAAATACAAAAAGTTGAGAAAACAATTCAGAGCACACCATACACTGTACACAAGAAAAACAGATTTTAAACGATTCAAATTTATAATTATATTAATAATGACATAACAATGAAAGATGATAAGATAAATCTAGTTTGTTCCCTCACAGCAAGACAGCTGTTTAGCAAGCTGGGAATACTTATGATACTTGGACTGAAGACTCTCCTCAGCATCTTTGGTATCTGGAGACGGGGTTCGAGGACCGTTAGCAGGGACGGATCCTGTACCCGGAGTCATTCCTCCCAGGTTCTCTTTGGTAAAGTGCATCTTGGAGAGATGATGTCGGTACGCGCCTTTGGAGATAAAGGGTGTATCACAAAAAGGACATTTGATAACAGAATCTGCTGATACGGCCTGGTTACAGGCCCAAGAGAAAGCAAGGATTGCTCCTGGATCAGACATAGGACTTGCACTGGTTTCCCTTCTTCCGGCCTTAGGACTCTTCTTCTGATCCTCACAGAACATCTGTAGCTGAGCAAGAGGGTTTCCACCACCTCCTCCGCTTCCTTGCTCCGGACTAGAGAGCGGAGTTGGAACCTTGATCTGATCCATCCTTTCATCCTCAGACTTGATTACAGGACTAGATCTGCTTTTCTCACTACCTGGAGACATTCTTTCCTCTTCCTTTAGATTCCCGGGCTCAATCCCGGCAAGTTTATCTGCCAGGATGGTTCCCCGGATTGGAACAGGAGAATCAGGTTTACTTGTGGAACCCGATGTAGAGCTGAGACCCGGAGAGGTTCTGCTAGGAAACAGATTACTGATATTGAACTTGTTCTCCGGAGAGAACTGAGGAGGTTGAAACCTTGGTACTGGACTTGGTCCTGAAGAAACCTGACGGGCCGAACCTTGAAAGTTTCCTTTCACCAAGAGTTCTAATGACCCGAGTATGGAGTTTCCTCCATCTGAACCATTCTCCTTCATGTCAGATTTACTGCCGCAGTTTCCATCTTTATTACCAGTGGTCGGGATTGTTGGCTCAGGCTCTGTATTTTTAAGGAAGCGCGGCCTACCCACGCACTGCTGGATATGAGGTATAAATATATCAATGGTTATTTTCTCTTCACATCGTTCACACAATAGTTTACCAGACTCCATGATCTCTCTGGCACTCACGGGGGAGAAGTTGCCGGCAACTTCCTGCCTAGCTCGCTCCAGCTCCAGCAGCTTCTTCACCGGCAGCGCCTTCTTCCTCTCCTTATTCAGCTGAGCCTGACTGGGAATGTTACGGGGCATTTTGTCCCCTGTGTAGTGGTTTGCGCGCACCATGTGATCACTCAGATCTTTTAGTGTTCCGAATCCTTTATCACACACTTTACAGGTTAAAACGGAGCTAACATGATTTTTGACACTGGTTTGATGAGATTCTGGATATTTCCACGAGGAAATCTGATCATGTGAAATGACCTTTTTATAGTGCTGAGTCTCCTGCATGTGTTTAGTAAGAAGATCTAAACTTCTAAAGCTCTGTCCGCATCCCATACACTTGAGAATATCTCGGGTTTGTTCATCTGCTCTTCCTATCCATACATCCTGTCCTCGAACTAGTTTACGGGGCAGAGGCATCTGATCCCGGAGAACATCTCTAGGTTTGGATGGAGAGGGAAGAGAGTGGATGGGAGAATGATGAGAGGAATTAGGAGATCCAAGACCATGAGAAGAATAGTTGGGAAGAGAATGATGTTTCGCCTCCTTCATATGAACTGTGAGTCCTTCTAGGCTTTGGTAGCTCTCTTTACACCACACACACTTGAACACGTCCTCCGGTTTGGCGGTGTCATTATGCTTGTTTGACCACTGCGCGTGCCAAGGGTTTGTGTGTGTTCGTGTTGGTGGGGAATGGGAGGGAGATTTACGTTGAGGAAAATCATGCGGCATTGAGGTTGGGGGTCGGAGATGGTTGAAGAATGAGAGAAGACCAGCAGGCATCAGAGGATTAAAGTAGTTGTTCCCGGGTTTAAGTTCAGGACTCCGACTCCCAGACAAATCTAAAGGTTTCTCGGATTTTAACCCAGAGTCAAAATCTCTAGGAGAACTTGGTCGTGGTAGTTTTTGTTTTGATTCAAACAAATCCTCATCAGCTGATCTTTTTCGTCCCAAAGCTTCTCCATTTTCTTGGACCCCTAGGAGAGCTTCATGCTGCTGCCTTGCTAACATGATCTGAGCAGCTTGAAGCTGTGCCAGCTGAGCAGCGTAGAGACTGGGATTAAGAGCTAGAAACTGTGCTGGGAGAAGAAAAGGATTGTTTTTCAAGAGATCCATAGGATTCGCCATCAGCTCCTGCTGATCCTTCATCTTCAACATAGGACTCTCCGCCATAGGAGGCGGAGACGAGTGTGGCGGAGATGAAGGTGGTGGAGATAAAGGAGGTGGAGAGGAACGAGCCGGTGATGAGGGTTGCGGACTTTCCGATTTTTCACTCCCCTCTTTTTCTGAATCTAAAATCGGCATTTTTTCTGGAATAGAGTCGTCCTTCTCTGGGTTAGGATCTAGCTCTGGGTTAGGTTCTATCTCTTGGGCTGATTCTCCGTCTAGTTCTAACTCTTCAAGTTTTGAAGTATCCTCTGTGAGTTCAATATCAGGTTCGTCACCTGAAAATATAAATTTATACAATAATGTCAACACTTGTCCTTCATCTCTTTTATTCTCTCTGATTTGATAAAATACAAACTCATTTTTTCACTTCTTAAAACCTTAGTTTTTAGTAAAGGTAAGTTTTTAGAAAAGGAAACTCGAATTTTCTAATCCTTATTTCTTTGCAATCTGATGATGTACACCCTTGATATTTCACGCTTTTTGGTCGAACAGACCTAATAGTTTGAAACATAAAAGATCTACGACGCTGGGTTGCAAAGATTTAGGGATAAGAGTTTGCGACATAGGTTTTTGAAGATGTATTTTGAAACCCCCTGCACCCCTCCTGTGAAATATCAAAGTAATCCTCTGAATTATTATCTTGAAGCTACACAAACAAGTGTATATATATTATCTATCTATCTATCTCCGTGTTTCTCATCAGTTTGACGGAGTTGAAATGTTTTCAAAGGTTACTATTTAGTAAAACAAACAGTGTGTGTAAAGTTGACTGACAGCTAGGATAGAGAAGCTGACAGTTGACGGCTGACAGCTGTCTGGGTGGGTAACTAATCAACCCTATGCCTAGACCTGCGGACCCAGTTTAGAGTTTTTGATAAGACGTGATCTACCCTATACATAAATTCAATAAATTACACAAACTTATCAAATAGACAGGTTTGACAGTAAAGTATTAATAGAGTGTTAACCGAAAGGCGCACACAGAAATATTATGCTATTTCCGATTCCTATTTTTTAAAATAAATTCTAAAATAATTCTTTTCTTAACTTATTAACCTGTTTAAAACTAATTGTACCAACAAGTCAATAGAGAGAGAGAGAGAAAACGCCTCTTCACTTTGTGATCTTTATATGAAATGTGGTGTTATCAGGGTACTACTGTCAGTACCGAGTGTTTAACATTGGACCTGGAGTAGAAATGTCACTCAGTACCAATCCTGAACACTGTAATTTTATCAAATGTCTAATTTGATAGCGAGGCATGTGCGAATTTGTAACAAATTTTGCGAATACGTCAGAAATAAAGCTGTTGTATTGAAATTCTTATATCTAAAGAGACAATATTTACTATTTAAAAAGTGCAGTTAGAATTGAATCATGAGAGAAGAAGGAATGAAATAAATCTCTCCTATAAATCTATTTTTTAAGTCTTTATCTTTGGAACCTGATGGCGTGAACCTTTAAAACTTGATAATTTGACAAAATTCATGTTTGAAATGTCAACGGCACGACATATGGTTGCAAAGATATAGGATTTAGAAATCTAAAGTTTGAGGTAAGTAA